TGCAAAATGCTCACCACAGTAAGTCTAGTTAACATACATCACTATACATAGTTACAAAATTTTTTTTCCTTTTTTTCTTGTGATGAGTTACTTCTAAGATCTACTCTTTTAACAACTTTCAAACAAGCAATATAGCATTATTAACTGTAGTCACCATGCTGTATATGGCATCCCCAAGACTGACTTATTTTATAGCTAGACATTTGTAACTTTGACCCCACGTAGAGTTACTTTAGTGATATTTTACTATAAAGTTATTTCCTTAAGGACGTAAGCTCCATTAAGGCCAGGTACTCATTGAATTCAAACTGCTCTATCTGCGTGTAAATGGTTGACTTGAAAGGATTCTGGTTCCCTGCAATTATGTCTATAATGAGGAGAGAGAAGAAAAAACACATCAGACTACTAAGGTATTTCAAGACATTCTGCCTCATAGTTAATCATGGTAGTAGCCTGACAAAATAGAACTTTTATAAGTATCTCATGCATAGTAATCTGTAATGTCTGTTAATTTACTTTAGAGAAAATATGCCCTTAAATTGATTTTGCTATTACATTCTGCAGGCCTGTAAGTCACATTCCCTGGTGCATGAATAATTAGATAGCAATCCATACATTTTACATTTTTCAACTCGTTAACATTTTTGAAACCAAACCAGATACTAGACTTGACATTTTCATGTTGCTGTCAGGAATTTCCATGCTTAGTGTCTAGGCTCATTTTGTCCTGTTATTTACTTTGGCTTCCATGCCTGGCTTCTTCTTTCAAGTTGTGTGCTTTCCATGTGTACGAAAGTGGATTCCCACAAAGGAAGGACGGATAATGAGTCGGTCTGGAAGTGCTATTCTGGTTGTTGTGGAGAACACTCAGTTCACCATAATTAGTGATTCTGGGAAAGTGCGGCAGAGCACCGAGGCAGTGGAGGTTGCTTGGCTTGTTCTCAGTGTACATACGAAATGCACTTGCGCGTGCACGCGCACACACACACACACACCTTTGCCTCACCTTGGTAATACTTTATTTCTCAATTCTGTTGTAAGAAAGGTACACTATAGTTTTCATGAAATGCAGTGCAAATGAATGTACTCTGAATTCTGGATCGCTGACCTAAAATTAGATCTCTTGTTAATGTGTTCATGACTCTGCCTGTTAACATTAAGAGGGTGAAAAACTCAACTGCTTTTGTGGTGAGCATTATCAAATGAAATGGATATAATCAAGAGCCTTATCCAACAACTTCCAGTCAAGATGAAGGCGTAGGCAGATGTGGCTCACCTCTTGGCACAGCTACATCAAAATTAAAACTAAAATATAGAACAGCCATCACTCAGAATTGTCACAAATCAAGTTGAATGGAAGTCTGATAACTACGGAATTAAAGAAACCACATCCATCAAGACTGGTAGCAGGAGTGCAGATGCAGAATGGGCTGGTCCCTCACTCATGTGTGGTGGATTAAAATTTGGGAGGGGCATCTCTGGAGTGGGGAGTGCCAGCCCCATACCATGCCCCCCAGCCCAGGGTTCCAGTGCCAGGAAGATAAGTCCCCACAACCTCTGGCTGCAAAACCAGCAGGGATTGAGTCAGTGAAAGAAACTTCTGCAGCCCTAAGCAGTTCCTCTTAAAGAACCTACACTCAGAATCACCTACTTGGACTCACTCCCTTTGAGCCCCAGCATTGGAGTAAGAGCTTGAAAGGCACCATTGTCATAAAAGGAAGAACAGAAGTGTCTGGCATCAAGGAGAGCGGAGGTCATTGTCCCTTTTCTAAACCCTTTCACCACAGAGCTGGCAAGCTGGCACCATATCTGAGACTTCATCCACCTAGCTAACATTATATGACTCGCCTTGGAGATCCCCAGAGACTCCACCAACCCAACTTATGGGCCCAGCCAAGCTGCTTTTCTGTATGAATGGCTGGCCTTGCTTATGCTTCACAACTTCCTAAATCCTATCAAACAAGCAACAGTTGGCCTCAGTGAGCCCCAGGTCCAGCACTAGCAGCAGCAAGCCTAGATTCATAGCTTAACTGAACCCAAGCTTGCTCTGGGAATCTCCAAGCCCAGAACAAGTGGTATCCATATAAGATTGCTCTATAACTTAGGCAAGACGGTCCTGGGCAAAACACAGGTGGGGGCTGACCTTGGCCTTTACCACCTGGAAAACCCCAAGGCCAGTATACCCAGTGGACAGCTACAGATCACATCAGAGCACCACCACCTGGCCCCTACTCAGCTGACTCTCCACAGAGGGTAGAGGTTGGTGGTCAGTGGTCACAGCCAGACCTTGCAGCTGACTGGCCTGGGTAAATCCCTGCTGTTGATCTGCCAACAGCTACCAAGGCTCAACCACAAGAGAAGGGTGTGCTCAACCCACACAGAGGGTGCACCTCGAGTACATAGCTTGGGTGATGGGGAGGCTGTGCCACTGGAACCTACAGGATATCTACTACATGCGGCCACATTACCAAGACACGGAGTCACAGTAGCTCTACCTAGTACATAGGAACAAACACAGGGAGGCTGCCAAAATGAGGAGACAAAGAAACATGGACCAAATGAAAGAACAGATCAGAACTCCAGAAAAAGGTCTAAACAAAATGGAGATAAGCAATGTATCAAATGCAGAGTTCAAAACACTGGTTATAAGGTTGCTCAAGGAACTTAGTGAGGTCCTCAGCAGCATGAAAAAGATCCAGTCAGAAATGAAGGATACACTAATTGAAATAAAGGACAATTTACAGGGAAACAACAGTAGAGTGGATGAAGCCAAGAATCAAATCAATGATTTGGGAAACAAGGAAGCAAAAAGTAACCATTCAGAACAATAAGAAGAAAAAAGAATCCCCCCAAAATGAGGATAGAATAAACAACCTCTGGAACAACTTCAAGAAGTCCAATATTCACGTCATAAGGGTGCCAGAAGGAGAAGAGAAAAAGCAAGAAATTGGAAATCTATTTGAAAAAATAATGAAAAAAAACTCCCCCAGTTTAGTGAAGGAAATGGACATGCAAGCCAGGAAGCACAGAGAGTCCCAAACAAGATTAGGCCCACCCGAAGACACATCCTAATTAAAATGCCAAAGGTTAAAGATAAAGAGAGAATCTTAAAAGCAGCAAAGAAAAGAAGTTAGTTACCTACAGAGGAGTTCCCTTAATACTCTTAGCTGATTTCTCAAAAGAAACTTTGCAGACAAGAAGGGATTGGCAAGAAATATTAAAAGTCATGAAAAGCAGGGAGCTACAGCCAAGGTTGCTCTTCCCAGCAAAGATATCATTTAGAATAGAAGGGCAGATAAAGAGCTTCCCAGACAAGAAAGAACTGAAGGAGTTCACCATCACCAAACCATTATTATATGAAATGTTAAAGGGACTTATTTAAGAAAAAAAAATCAAAACTGTATATAAAAAGGTGGCAAAAATACATATCTATCAACAATTGAATCTGAAAAACAAACTAAGCAAACAAGAAGGACAAAGACAGAATCATGGATACAGAGAGCATTTTGATAGTTGCCAGATGGGAGGGGATTTGGTGGGAATGAGTGAAGCGGTGAGGGGATTAAGAAGTCCAAATAGGTTGTTACAGCATAGCCATGGGGACGTAAAGTACAGTATAGGAAATGGAGCAGCCTAAGAACTTACACGCATGATTCATGGACATGGACAATGGTGGGGAGATTGCCTGAGGGATGGGGAGTGCTGGGTGGAGGGTGGACAAAGGGGGGAAAATCAGGACAACTGTAATAGCAGAACCAATAAAATATAATTAAAAGCAAAAACTAAAACATACACATACACACACACAAAAGCGCCTTTTCCTCCTTATTGTCTGCCTGCTTTACAATGAAATTGCATAGATTAAGTTACCGACTGCTATCTAATTAAGCCTCAATTTCGATGCTGTGTGTGCGTTTAGCACTTTGTGCTTTGTTTTTCCTCTAAAGTTTTGGTTCTTCATGTTAAATTATGTCTTCCCACTACAACACATAGTGGACTTACCCAGGGCCCCTCAAGCGGGACCCAGAATTAATTATGTCCTCATAGGAGCCTAATGAATGTTGTTGAAGGAAATCAGTGAACACTTAGATGATTATTTTTTATACAAATGCTGTGTTAACTAAGAATAAAAAGCATAACAAGCAAATAATAACAAGCTTAACTCTCTCCGTTTCTATCACTGGGCTTCACTGGACTTAATGCCTTGACGGAAACTCACAGGTGAAAGGACGGGCTTTGGTGTGAACGCTGACGGGGCTCAAGTCTCAGAGCCTCCCTTTTCTAACCGCCTGGCCTGGGGCAAGCCACTGAACTCCCTCCTTCACCTTGGCTGCTTCCTCTCTGTGAAATTGCTAGCTGGGTGTCGTTAAGATTAAATGAGATAACATAGGTGAAACCTTTAGTGCCTGCATGCAGTAAATGCTCGACAAAGATTGGTTGTTATTATTTTATCTGCCTTTTCAGCCTACGGCATACCTTCAAACTGCCCACACGTTGGTTTTTATGACAAAGGCTATTTTAGTTTTTTTTTTCACTTTACTATTACACTTTTCTTTGCATTTCCTCTGGGTCAGGATGCATATTTTTTTGCTTCTACAAATACTCTCATCCTACTGAACTCATCAGTTTTCTAAGTGGAACTTGATGCGACTTTGATTCTTGGGATATTTTCTTTGGTAGGACATGTCATTCTAGAACTGCTGTCTCTTTTGCTCTCCTGTCTCCGACAAGCCTTCCACTGAACTTATTCATAGAGTGTGTCTGGTTCCTTTTTGAGTTATTTTGTAGAAATAAATTAAGGCATAGGACCATCACCTATGCAGCTCACACTAGATTTTTTCCTTCCAAGGGCTAATTTGAAAACTTATCTTAAAGAACCTTCCCCTCTTTTCAGAATCCACTATTTTCTTTCTACTGAAATTTAGCCTTATTCATGTGTTATTTCTTTTTTCTCTGTCTGTTCTCCCCCCTCCCCCGTCTGTTATGCCACATTCTTCAAGATGTGGATGAGTGCCTGGAACCGAAGGTCTGCACCAACGGCACTTGCTCCAACCTCGAAGGCTCCTACATGTGCTCCTGTCACAAGGGCTACAGCCCGACTCCAGACCACAAGCACTGCAAAGGTAAACGCTGCGATCGCATTTCTCATTTTTCTGTGCGCTGCCGTGAAGAATATGTTAGAGTAACTAGCCTTTGAGAAGGGACCACGCTGCCTGTCCTTCAGTTGGACTGAGTGACGTGGGGCACGTGTTGGTTGGCATCTTTGAAAGTGGCTCCTCCTTGTGGTTAAATATAGACCATTTCTATTTGTATAAAGAAAGACAATGTATTTTTCCAGAGCATCTATAAACCATAGATCTGTTTATTTAATTTTTTTTCTGGTTATGTAAATAATATATGCAGTTGCACAGTCCTGTGGATATACTAAGAACACTTAATTGCATACTTTAAACAGGTGAATGGCATGGTATTCGAATTGTATCTCAGTGACTTGCTATTAAAAGACAACATACAGTCATTGTAGAAAATTTAGCAAATGCAGAAAGGTAAAAAAGGTAAGGTAGCAATGTTATAATCCCATTCATAGACATTTATATCTCATGGATATTTTATATAGTTATGTTCTGTGTATAATTTTGAATCCTGCTTTCTGTTACTTAATAATATATGTAAGAATTTTACATCTCATTAATGGTGCTTTTCACAAGTCTTTCAAAAAGCCGCATAACATTCTAGCGTATTGCTCTATCACCATCTCCTTGCTGTTCTTCAGCTGTTGAACACACACACTTTTCCCACCTTCTCATTATTATGTGGGGAAAAAAGATCTTTAACAGTCACATTTTTAAAAAAGAACCTATGTCTGAGTTTTAGGATTATTTCTTTACTCACAAAAGTGGGAACATTGATGATCTGAATTATTTTTACTATTTTGGTAGAGCACTAATTTCTAATTGTTAAAATGTATGGTTTTTTATAAAAGGTTTAATATTTCTATGTTTATTTCCTTTAATACTGACCACTTCTATTTATTAAATATTAACTTTATTACTAAATAAATTTAACTGAATATATTTTAAATGATATAATTGTATTATAATAAATAATAACCTCTAACAAACATAATTATGCATTTATATTTACTCTTTTATAAATTAATGTTAGTATCTTTTCCCATTTATCAGGTTTTTAAATCAAAGTATGTGAACACTTTATATATAATTTATACAAACCTGTGTATATGTGCACATATGTTACATATACCATTTTTCTAGTATATTGCTATAGTTTGCCTAAGGTTTTCCTAATTTTCTTTTTCATAATTCCTTTTTTTAAAGAGGTTATAAATATTTTTCTAGTTAAATCCATGAATTCTTTTCTTTTGCTTTCTATGGTTTTATACACAAAAGCATGTTCTTTGAAAGGAAAAAGTAGTGAAATAAGTAAAAGTTTTCTTCTTTCTAAGTGTCTCTATGCAAGGGAAGGACCCAGGGTTCATGTCTCACTGTGGCAGGCAGTCAGTGGGCGGAGACCCAGCTGCCCTGTAAAGCATCTCCCACTGGCATCTGAATTGGTGCCGTACCCCTTCATGCAACAGAACACCAGCCACTCCTTTTCTCCCCAGTCCTTCCCCTCTTGGCCCGAATCCACAACTTGCCTACCAGCTCCTTAAGCCAGGCATCTCAGACCAAATTAAATGTGTGTCGGAAAGGTATCATTTCTTCCCTCCTACACAGGGTTAGTGGTGGGTGAAGATCGCAGGCACTGGAAGTTATTGTTCACTTTTATGTGATGACTATTTCCATTCTAGTGTCATATCCTGTCATGTATCTTCTTTCTTCCCAACCTTTCTGCTTCTTTTCATCAGTTTATTCCTGAAAACTCTTGTCATCTGTGCCAACCTTCATATTCCAAATGTATCGATCACTACTGCTTTCTTCAGCTTGCATTCTCTGGCCCACCCAAATGGATGTTACGATTGCCCTGTGGATAGTCTGGGCATATTTTGACCCAAGGCCCTTCTCATGATTATCCTGCCTTGCACACACATCTCCTTCCTCACTGCTCACATCCTACGTGAACCACGGTTCTCCGGGGGCTCGCCATGCAACCTCGGATAAATGATCTCAGATTTTCACATCCTGCATCATCTCTAAAATGTTGGGATTGGACTCCACATGGATAATGCTCAGAGTAAACAGATGCTGAATGAATGACTCATTCATTGACACTCTCTTATTCTTGGCCATTGCCATCCTAGCTGGGCTGCTCCTCTCTGATTGGCCTCCCTGGCGCCCAGGATTCACGCCATCAGTCGCCGCCACCCCTAGGAACACTCATGTTATGCAGTCTGGTGGCACTCTGCCAGGCTGCTGGGAAGCCTCTCTTTACCTTCCTTTTCTTCCGCTCCAGTATGTCAGGGGCCTGACATGTTCCAACTGCAGATGTCACTCACAGGATATCATCCCTCAGAGAACTTTAACTCCTTGGAAGAGGTGAAAACCTGCAACAGACAAGTGTAGATACTTAAGTGCCAAGAGATGTTATGCGAGTGTCATGTACCCCTGATACTGTGAGGACGAGGGTGCTTCACCCCTGTGACTGTGACTCCCATCTAATCCTGAGAAAAGCGTTAGACTAGGGACATTCTACTGGATTCTGGCCCTACCCTCAGGAAAAATAAGAGGACAAGGAACAGAAGGAAAGACCGCCTGGGAAGACGAGACACCCACCTGCAGCGTGGTACCTGGAATGGAATCCTGGAACAGAATGATGACATAAATGGAAAATCTGGTGAAATCCAAATCCAATCTGGACTTTAGTTTGAAAAGGCAGAAAAGGCAGCGTATCAGATTCTAACGTGGACTTTGAGAAACTGCGTGAGCTTGGATAAGTTCTTTCAATTCACTAGGCCTGACTTGCTCATCTGCAAAAAAAGGCAACAGCAATGTTGCCTGCTGGGCTGGTGTGAGCATTACACATGAGAATACAGGAACAGAGGTGATACATGCAGGGGCAGGTGAGGTAGTGCAGGGGCAGAGCAGGACACGTTGTCGTTGGTAATGTCGATGGTGTTATCTGCTGAGTTGTGCGGAGGCGAGTACTACAAAGTTCTGTGAAAGCCCAACGGCATGTGACTAGTTCTGCTTGCGTGCTTCCGTGATAACTTCACAGACGTGTTGCCATTTGAAGTTAGTCCTAACGTACTGAACATGAAGGAAAGAAAAATGTAGCAGGCAGAGAAAACAGCACATGTCAAAGCTTGGTGGTGGGAAAGGGCTGCTGCCTCCCCTTGCCACTTAACCTTGCCCCCCACTCCAAGTCTCCTGGTGTCTATCCATCACGGTCTGGCACACTGTCCCGAGACATCCCCAGCTTCTTCTTCAGAAACCTACGGTGTGCTCCAGGTTTTCCTTACTCGCCAATCACAGCCCTTCCTTTTTACAATAATAAATTACATAACATCCTTTTTCTTTAATTATGTCATTATCTTTCCTCAACCACATCAGCATACAGATGTCAGAATCCTCCCAGATCATAAATCTCTCCCTTTCCCAACATTCTAGCAACTCTGCTAATCTTATCTCATTGATGGTGCTAAATACTGACTTTGTCTTCACCTCACTAAGTGTACCAGCAATCTTTATCAAGTTTTAAATACATTACCTAATGCATTAATTTATTTCTCTTTGTTTCTTTGTATCTTTTTGTATCTGTCTCTGTGTAGCTCCTTGCATCTGCACATTCTAGGACTGTATTTCCTAAATTTGTACATAACTAGAGGTGGTCTCTATTTTAACTCTGACCTGGACTTGTCATAGTGTAAAAAGTCTCTCAGTTCCCTTTCACAGAGAATAATATTTTCTTTCCATCTCTTGGCACAAAAGAGAGAGGACATTTGTCCTGCATGCCTGTTTTATTGGAGAGCTTCCTTTTATCATAGGAATTTTGTCCCTCATCCGAAAAGAAAAATGCCTTTTTTATCTATAGAATTCAACTGCCTCTGTTCCCCCTTGGTTATTGTAAAGACTCCAAGATCACCTTCTTCAAGATAACTGGGTTGCCCCAAGTTATTCCAAATGTGTATGTCATTACTTATAATGAATTACTTCTGACCGTCTTCCCAGTGTAAATGAAGAACGTATGGAAGATGTCTGGCCTCCCCTGACAGACTTGGAGTGGAGGGTCTAATCTTCACATGGGAATGCTTAACCTGTCATCTTCTTTGAGAAAGTCAAAAGGAGTCCGAGGCACTAACAGTGTTGTCAGGCATTACGTGAGATCCCCCAGCTACACGAGCTGTTGCGGGTCTTAAGTTCTCGAACTGAGAGATAGATCGCGAGTATTTTTTAGAATGTGCTGAAAGAAATTATGGTGTGAGATGTTCTTTGCTGTCGACCACTCCTAGAGCTAATAGACTTAGAGTGCTGGAAAGGTATAAAATAATTCTTAAAATAAAGTTCAGCTCGCTTCTTTAATTTCCCTTTTGGTAGTCAGTAGTTGGCAGCCAGGACTTATTTATAAATAAAAGGAAAGAGCCAATAACACAATCAGTGAAACAGAAGTTTCTAGTAAACTCATTTCTATGTAAAATTAAACGAATAAGAAACAGATTCCTGAACTTCAATTAGTTTATGTGAATTTATTTTTTTCAGAAGCATTGGTTGAGACCTTGCTTATATCAGGATAAAATTCAAAAGGTTAATGCCTCCCTAGTGGTTCCGAGATGCAACTTTGCTCAGGAAACAAGTAATTGGCACTAATGCATAAGGGGAAGGACTGTACAGCCAATTGAGTTCTCCCAGGGAAAACTTTTATATGCATTTTAAATATGACATTTTTTGGAAGAAAGTGATAGTCAGACATTGATTGCTAGGGGCTGGTTTCCTTAAAACAAAGTCTGTTCTTTCTAGATGAGGGCTCCTTTCTCCCCCTCTGAGCACAAAGGGCTGGTGTGGGTTTCTTCTGTTCAAGACTGACTGATCTAATTAGAGCAGAACAACCTAATGGCCAAACAGAACCGTTTAGAAAACCAGCTCTACTTCTGCTACAAGTGTTCTCAAGCTATCGATGAGGCCAGTCCTCTCTTCATTTGTGTGAATGGTATACGCAGCATCTCCTAGAACACTTACAAAGAGTTCTATTCTTTCTCAGTCAATAACTTTATGTTTAATCAAGGCATTCAAAAAACTCCCACCGCTTTCTCTTTGACATTCAAGCAGCTGTCAACATGATTCCATCATTCCACTTGGCTTTCCTTGTTTCTTTCCAAGTAAATTCAGTGTCTTTTCACACAACTGTTTGTTCTTACCCTCTTTCAGCTTCTAAGTACAGTAGGAATGTTTATTTCTCGTGATTACTGCCTACAATATGGTTTTGTTTTGAAAGTTCCTGGTAGAGTTTTCATTCCGCCTTCTTTCACGAAATTCTGCAGGTCTACAAACTGCCCATTGTCGTTATTTTGTGCTGGAGGTTCTGTCTTTTATTTTCAACTCTAAAATATTTTACATTGTGTTGCTGCTGTAGCCGAAGCATGGGAGAGATGGCAAAGGGCTTGATGTTGTTTTAAAAGTAGCTTTAACTTGTTCATAAATTTATTGTCCATTTGTAACTATTTCCATTCTACAGTTCAACTACTACGTTGGTATGAGGAACATGAGTGGGCTAAATCATACTAAAATTTATGGTATCTCATATAGGAAGTTCTATCATTTTTGTAATAATAATCCCAGAATGCCCTGTGGAGAACATTACATTCTCTTGGGTTGTTCCCATTTTTTTTTTATTTATAGAATTTTTTGTTTTTGTGGACTCTGCCTTAAAGGGCCAACCTGGAATTGGAATGCCTCGAAGTCAGTTGATTGGTTTACAGTCTCAGAGCAGAACTAACTGCATCTTCTGATGTGACCTAATTTAAAACAATCGCCATCCTTTGTGTGTGCAGATATCGATGAATGCCAGCAAGGGAACCTGTGCATAAATGGGCAGTGCAAGAACACCGAGGGCTCCTTCAGGTGCACCTGTGGGCAGGGCTACCAGCTGTCCGCTGCCAAAGACCAGTGTGAAGGTAGGAGAGTGGCGACAGGAACTACAGAGATTGTAGAGTAAGACACCTGGCCTGAAAATGTGCACTCGGGAACTGAATGGATCTCTGGGGAAGTACATAGGTGACTGGAAGGTCAATAAAGACAGGATGGAAAATGTTTTACATTTGAGAAATATGTCATTAGTGATCAGTAGTTGACCATTAATATTAGTAAGAAAAAATTACCTCTCTCCGTAATTCCTCACTACAGAAAATCCATTGTATTAAATTCATTTGAAAGTTTTACACACTAGGATTCCTGCAATTAGAAGGTCATTATATCACCCTGGTGTATGCTGCAGAATGTTAATGACCTTAGCTTGTATGTATATTCAGCTTTATAAAATTTTTCCCCTTTTTAAAGAAGTATCACTAAAGAAGACTGTTCAACAAGACTGAGATAGTGCCCCATTTCTGCTCAGGGATAACGTTTGTGAAACATGTCCTATTCCTACAGGTGGTAGTGAGGATTTTCGACCTCACTGGGTTTGACCTTAGACTTAAAACAAATGTAATTGAAGCAAATACAAAATCACTTCCCAATAATTACATGCCTCAAGTTGCTACGTTATCATCTGCGACCAGCACAAGTATCTGGAGTTTTTGAAATGTCATATATTTAAGAAAAGAACACATGCTGTACAAGTTCAGTTTTCTTATAAGGAAACAAATCATATTCATGTTTGTATGTCATCTTTGAATACTTAATGAGTAATGATGGTGTTATAAGAGAGAGGCACAATGTATGTATGGTGATACTACAAAAGGATCTACCAGTATTATTGTAACTTTCCCAAGTATCCCTTTGGAGGAAGTCTTGACAATATCTAGTCTAAAAATGGAGAATGTTAGAGCACACACCGGCACACTCACACACACGATAGATAAAGTGATTGGTTCTGGATTCTATGAGTCCCTTTCAAAGTTTTACATTTTTAGGACTCCTGGCCTCAGTTGGCTAAGCATTTGTCCGACACCTCCCATGCAGAGAAAACTACAAATGAGCAGAGGTCTACCCATAATGGAAGAAGGCAATAACAGTCCAGATCCTTTCTTTGGAGGAGACTGTGACATCACTACCTAAGAAAAGTCAGATACACGCAGAACCACCCACCAGACCATCAACAGGGCAAACCAGGGTTAGGTGCAAAATGCTATGATGACCAAAAGGACGCCGTTAATCCGAGTGGGGGAGCGCAGTGGTGTCAGGTCCTGGTGGAAACCGCTGTTTGCGTTAACTCTTAGAATCACATTGCCAGGAGTCGATGAACATACACAACTGTTACGATCGAAGTCTACCGTGAATTGAGTGTCTGCTAATTTAAAACACTAGGTCATCTAAGAAAAATAAAGGCTGTGGGAGATGTAGTCCCTGCTCTCAGGTATCTTAAAATTTAATGAAGAAGATTAGATTAATGATGAATAATTAAAATGTAATAATAAAGATCAATCTACTTGCACATGGGCAGTATATTATTGTGCCTTCTGTGTGGATATGAGGCAGCAATGGGTGTGAGCCTGAGCTCAGGACTGTGGTTACGGAACAAATAATCCCTCAGCCATGGGTATGTGGGTCAAGGAGGAGAGATTCATTGGCGATGTACACGCCCGCTGGGCTGAGAGGAGGGAAGGCCGTTAGAGAAAGTCATTGTGATTGAGAGGCAGGGAACCGGATGCCTGGTGATCAGGTGGCTGACGGGTGAATCATGAGAAAGAAATGATGTACATGGGATGAGGCTTCTGATCAGGGGTCAAATAGTAAAGGAATCAGTGGTGCTATTTTCCAATAAAACTGTATTCACAGTAAAGGCAGTGGGTTGTAGTGTGCAGCCCTTTAGACTGTTACGGAGTGTCATAGTCAAACCTCTGAAAGAAATCTAAGGCATTTACTGGAGGCTTATAGATTCCAGCAAAATATCTGCCCCTCACCCGTGAACAGTGGGATGACTGTGTACAGGCTCTTAACGCATCGATTAAATCTTTAAATTCATCTGCATTTTTCCCTACTCGGGGATTAATGAGTTTTTACTGGAGCGTAGTGTAATTCCCAGAATGAAAAATCCAATCTAAGTTAATTACAAACTGGAGAGTTTATAAATGTCCTGTGCATGAATGATCAGAAGTGTTTTGAAAGCATCGCTTCTGCAGCTCCTGTTTCCTGTCTTGCTCCCAGACATCGACGAGTGCCAGCACCAGCACCTCTGCACCAACGGGCAGTGCAGGAACACGGAGGGCTCCTTCCGCTGTGTCTGTGACCAGGGTTACCGGGCATCCGCCCTCGGGGACCACTGTGAAGGTGAGCTTTGCTCCTGATTTCAGAATCCAGAGATCTGGGTGTTAGCCCTGCCTCTGCCCTTGAGCCCAGCCTATTGACTTCACAGCCGAGGGCATTAGGTCCCTGCAAAGAATTTCCCCATGGTCACACAAATAATGCGGAGAAGGGAGTGGAATCCAGGTTTCCTCTGCACTGCTTGGAGATGTTTTTTAGAAGACCAGTAGCAGCTAAAGGAGTAGAGGACCGGTATAACCTTTCTCAGCTGTGGATGGTTAGCCGTCTGGGGTGTGGAGTTCTGAATTGTAACCTAATTTATGCAGGACCAGCATCCAAAGATCCAAGTGAATAAACCCAAGTTAATTTTGCAGATAACTGGAAAGTTTCTGAGAGCCAAACATTAGTTCAAGTTTGAGCTTTTTGCATAAAATATTTCTAAAGGATATCCCATGGGTACAGCATCATGCAGTTGTTAACCACTTTCACTGTCCACGTGGTTCAGAACAGCTCCCAAGTACTCTGGGCTGCTGAGCCAGGCTGCCACCCACCCGTTGTCGTGTGTGACTTCTGTCTGACTTTTATATCCATCCAAGTACGGTGTTCACCCAGCCCACCTGCTGCCTCCGGACCCTGTCCGTTGTGAGATGTGAACGTGGCAGGTCAGAGCCCCACGCGGCGTGTGAGAGTCTCAGAGTGGGGATCTGGACTCCACGTCTGAGAGCAGTGGATGAGCTTTTCAGTGAATGGGTTTATGGGCCGCATTTCAATGGCCCCAGGTACTTTCCCCTCCTCCCAGCCTCATTGGTCAGGAAAGACCCACCGTCTTGTACTTCACAGCCTCCTGCCTCTCTGCCCAGAGAGTATGGCCCAAGCAGTCACGGCCCCTCTGGAGGGCACTTTGGGCATTTTCAGGGGCCTTAAAATGTCCAATATTGTTCAATCAGTAAATTATCTTCTAGGATTTTATCCTAAGGAGGTAAACATCTGATAGTACCGGTGGAAAGTTGTAATGAGCATGCCTATTGAAAAATAGGCAAATGGTCAAACAAATGGTAAGTCGATATAATAAAGTTCGATTGTGGGGAAGGTCATGTTCGGGGAACTCTGCAACCCATGGCTGCACGTTCACGATCCAGCATGGAGCTGTTCCAGAGGGAGAGAGGCGGCCTTGCTGGGGGAGCCCATGTCAGGAGAGCCTGTTGTCGGGTCTGCTGGTGACATGCTCAGGCCCTAGAGGTGTTCTGCCCCAGCCCTGGCCGGGCCGAGACGTTGACTGAGCCATTGATTCAACTTGGGGCAATGGGTTTTCATCCAAGGGCACGTTCATCTATTTTGGCTGTTATAACATGTAGCCACCTTTCAGAAGTCCAAGATTTGTAGTCTAAAAACATCCGTTGCCTGAAAAGGCAAACAAAAACTGTTTAGCCAACTCGCTCATCATTGTTACGATATATGTTTATAAAAGACTATTATGTTCCATGAGAAAACTTCTTTTGGAATATATTATCAGCTGTTTTTTCTGAAGTCAGGGCTAATTTCCCTACTGTTCTAGGTTATAAATAGGACTGGAGTCCATCCAACTAAGTCAGAGCTCCCTTTGAAACTATATTAGCACTTCAGCCTGCTAATTCCCGACCCTCCCCAGTGTATTTAGCTGTAATTAACTGAGCCGTGATAGTCCACATGCCTCTCACAGCTGTGGGAAGAAGAGCCCTCTTTCTTGTCGGCTCTTATATTTACATGAGTAGTTTTTCTCCAGCAATCCTGGCGAAGACATTGTTTTCTGACAGTTATCCTGCAGTCCTGCTGGCCTTTCACGGCAAGTCAGAAGCCCAAGTGTTGTGTTTGTTTCTGGGCGCAACCGACTCCTCTCAGCAGCCACTTTGTCTAAGATCATGGGGTTACGCCGGTCGTCCTGGTTCTCAGGGGTCTGGGCAGCTCCACCTTCACAGGCTGTGCCTCTGGCTTGTCCCCCTTCCAGGCCCAGCCCCTAATTCCATGCCTGTTGTAGCGCCTCCCCTGCCCCTCACTGCGGTTGCTTCCTGCCGATCCCTTGCGAAGCCTGAGAAAAAGATTTCTGATTTACTCTGACTTCCCGTGGCCCTGTCTCTTGGTCCTTTCTTTGTGGACCGAATCAACAAAGGTGGGAAGAGGTGATAGTATTTCTTTCCTTGTCAGAATCATTCAGTTTATACATTTGTTCAACAAATATTTATTGTAAGCATGGGACATTTAGCAATAGTAATACACCGAACAGACAAAAGTTCCTGCCCTTGTAGAGCTTACATTCTAGTGAGGGAGATAACAATGAACCTGATGAGTAAGGAAAATAGGTAGTGTATTAAATGGTAATCAATGCGATGGAGAAAAATAAAAGGGAGATGTACACAGGGAGTGCCGTGGGAAGGAGGGTGGTGGTTTTAAATGAGGAGGCAAGCAGAGGCTTCCCTGAGATGACGATATTGGATTATTTATGGGAAGAGCGTTTTGTTCAAAGGAACAGCAGGTGCGAGGTTCCCCAGGAGCAGGCTTTGCGGAAGAGATTAAGGGCTCAACATGGGCCATTTAAATTTATGGTGCCTATGATGGGTATTCAAAGAAAGATAGCTGAGATGCAACTGGACCAGTGCATTTGGAACTCAGCAGTGAGTTCTGGGCTGGGAGTCATCAGCAAATAGACAGTATTTAAAGCCGTGAAATTGGAAGAAGTCACCAAGGCAACTGAGTGTAGTGAGAAGACAGAAGAGGTCCAGAGACTGAGTGCCGGGTCCTGCAGCACTGAGAAGTGACGAGATGGGTGGGAGTGAGCAGAGGGACTGGGAAAAGTGGCAAGTAGGAAAGGAGGGAAAGCAGAGTCTTGGAGAAGAGAGTATTTCAAAGGGGCGGGGGTGATGAACTGTGTCAAATGTGAACCAAAGGTTAACTGCAGGATCCAGCCCATGGAGGTCACGGGTAACTGTGACAGACTCACTCTCAGTGGAGGGGCGACCAGGATCCAGCTGCTGCCTTCCTTAAAGCCTGCTGCCCAACTCCTGGAAGGAATCTGTCTTTCACACCGCCCTAGGTGGCCGCTCAGGACAGTCCCAGGCAGGGCTCTTAGTGTTCAGCCTACTTTGTTTGCTAATTTGTTTTGTATTTGAAGATAGAGGTCTTGCAAAAAATTTTTTTAATTAAACCAGACTCCAACATAATGCACTGAGTTTTAAAGTCTGTACAATTATTGATAAATACTTAATGATTCTTTTTCCTCCCATATATTATTTCTCTTAGATTTTGGAAAATGAGTGAAAACCAAATTATTTTAAAGTAGTGTCAGCAAAGCTGATGTGAGGCAAAAGTCTAGGTAATAGATGTTGTTGCTAAAATTCATATTCTCAGGATTCTCCTTGATTTTTTAGAATTGAGGTTTTTTTTTTACATGATGCTAATAATCAAGTATTCCTTTTCTTACTTCATTATCTCAGTTTCCTACAGAGCAAATAAAGAAAGAAAGGTAAATCATCATCAATAAAAAAGACCGTCTATTCAACACGCATTAGAATAGCCGTGGAGTTATTATAATTAAATGTGGGCCATGGGAACTTTCCTGCCCTGCTGGTGGGGTTGTAGAGTGGTGCAGCCCCTTCAGAAAACAGTTTCTTCAGAAGTCGAACCCGCTGCGTCCCCCAGCCGTTCTACCCCTAGGGGTCCTCAGGGCAAATGAAAGCACATGGTCACACACAGACTTCCCCATGGGTGTGTATAGAAACTTCATTCATAACAGCCAAAATGTCAACAATCCAAATACTCACCAAAAGGGAAAGGGTTAAGCAAGTCGGAGGTCATTCACACAGTGGAATGCAACTTGGTGGGAAAGAGGAGCAAGCTAGTGATACATGCATTTGGGTGAATCTCACAAACACTGTGCTGAGCAGCGGTAGTCAAACAGAAAAGGGGCACCAGGAAGCCTTTTGGGTGATGGAAATGCTTGTACCTTTTCATTGTTGTTAATGGTTGTCCATTTTATTTATTTATTACGTTTTAAGCAAAGATTCATAAACTGTAGATTAGAATTTATTCCCAGTTGGTACAATCACTATTCAAAGTCATGAAATTAGCAGACCATTGGAGTTGAAGAATTAGTTTTACAGAATATATATCTCTAAATGCCTATTCTTAATTAACTTTGTTTCCATTTTTAGCAGTCTTGCTTATACCAAAGATTTGAATAAAACATTTGTTGGTATATTCAAAGTTCATAGAAGATGTTTAATCCTCCATGTTTTTATCTGTCTCTGTGATATATAATGGTTCCTTCACTGTCTCTTTCATGGCAATTGTAACACCCAAGGCATCAGGTTAATAGGAATGGAGAGGTTAAGGTCAGACTGGAAAAAGAGTAAAAAAAAAACACTACTAAGCTTTACATTTGGCACTACAGAATAACATCCTTACAAGGAAATCTCATCAATTCCTTAGGAAATTATTGCGTTTGCAATGACTTAACAATCCAACGGTAGATCTGAACAGATAGAAATCGATACATAAATGCCTACACCTTGAGTGCGATCATAGTCACACGGATGTTTGACATTTGTCAGACTCATTGAAATGGACTCTTAAAATTAGGTGCATTTATTGTATGTAAATTGTACTTCGATGAACTTGGAAAACACATTAAAAATAATAACCCACGTAATTGGTGACAGAGTCACATCAGAATTTGTTTTTTATGTTTTAGGATCAGTATTCAGAAACATTTTAAATCTGGGTGAATACCATAATAACTTGTTTTTATTTTGATAGAATGAAATTGTAAGGTGCTTATTTCTCTTTTATTTTCCCCATGAATGGCACAGAAGCCAGTTAACTGGTCGATTGGGTTCTAAGACGAAAATTTAATTGGCGCCTCCATATTTTGAACCAGACGGCACGGAGAACTGGACCTCGGCAGTTTCCATATTCACTCCCACCTGGAGCTTCTCATGTATTTTCACAGCCATCATGGCCATTTGCAGGAAATGTCATAGCATGCCAAATTCTGAGAAAACAAAGGAGGTTTGGTTCCTTAGCTTTCTTCACTGCTAATAATTTAAATCCTCTGCAGACAAAAGAGGAAGGACCCATGGAGTGTGTTAGGAATAACGAGCTCTGACTAGGAGTAAACGTGGCACTAACCAGCTCTCCGGGAAGTTCTGCCCAGCATTCACGCAGGGAGGGGGGTCATTAATTGTCTCACATGCTTACAGTCAAAAACTCATTACTGGTTACACAAACCATTTTTAGTCGTGCATGTGCTTTGAATATGTATATTAAAAAATCCAGGCAACATCAGACCTGTTTGTGACAGCTGCTGAGTTAGTGACTTGAGTGACGCTTTGATCTTGCTGAGTCCCTTTCCTTGCCGAAAGCCCCTCTTCCTCCTCCTCCTCCACCTTCTGTCCCACTGACCGAGCTTCCAAGTAAATCCCGTTCGTGACCACGAAGCCTTCTTTGACCTTTACGGTATCTCCTTTCTAAATTTATGTGACCTCTGAGGTTGGTACTGTTCTTCTGACAAATAATTACATTTTTGGCAGCCTTTATGTTAAATTGTTTTGGACTTCTAAAACAATTTAATACTGCATGTATTTATTAATACAATTTTTTTAAACAATCATTTCTCTTGAGGGGCAGGGACCATGCCAAATACTTTTAACTTTTTCCTATAATGCATAATACAGGAACTTGTATGAACAGATACTCAAGATACTCTTTACAATACATATTTAAAGAATATTTTTATTCTCTATCATCACCGAGAACATAGCCAAGTAAATTATTCTTTGTTACAGAATTTTGACTTTTCCTCTTCCAATTAATTTCATTTGATGTTCAAATTTCAGATTATCTATGTATTGTTCAAAGTTAAAATTCTTTCAAAGTGTTTCATTTTTTAAAAAAAACTCTAAAAGTTAAAAAGCATCACGCATTTCAAATCGCATGTTACGAGTGATGTAAAAAATGTGCATTTACGGTACCGTATGTGACTTTTGTGTAAAGGTAAGGAGAAATACCTCATTAAGAAAGAGTTTACTTAATCTTTTCAATTTTTAAAATTGATTTGTAGATGTTAACGAATGCTTGGAAGACAAGAGCGTGTGCCAGGGAGGAGGCTGCGTTAACACCAAAGGGTCCTATGATTGCACGTGTCCGGACGGGTTCCAGCTGAACGACAACAAAGAGTGTCAAGGTACTGCTCTCTCCCTCGCTGTCCCCCTTCCCACAGTTCTCCAGCTCCGGGTGCTTCCTGATGACCTGTGGTTTTGCCACCTGCTTTATGTGTGAATGAGCTTTGCCAATTTGTATTTTAAAAAAATCTTTCAGTGTGCTGATTGCGGTGGAATGGGGGCAGGAAGGGAGGTTTAAGGGGACTAAATGGTAATGGAAAAAGTACAATAATAAAAAAATAAATTCCAGTCTACCAAGGAGTGGGCTGCCTCCAGGGTCAAAAACAAATAAGTAAGTAAAGCAAAGGGTCTTTCTTGGGCTTGCATCGAGTACAGGAAATTCTCCTTTGCGTGGCATCTTGTTACCAACTGGGACTCGTGTGCTTTAGAACTGCGTCCTCGCTTTGCGTGCTGTGCGGTAACGGAGATCACCTGCACTTGTTGTTTCTTTTGTGGGTCACCCCTGGTACTTCATTCTAAATTACATTTCTAGCTTTTTGATATCCTTCATGGGCACATTTCATTTGTGCCATAGCTGATATTTTTTCTTTCTTTTTCCGTATCCCTGTTTTACTGAGTGTCCAGCTGTTTCTCTTCCTAAAAAATCTGCATAATTCTATCAAAATTGTGAAGAATGAGATCTGATATTTTTTCAAAGTGCTATCACATTTACTCTTGCAAACAACAGTACAGCAGATACACGGTACTGATAAGAACACAGCACTGATTACAACTCAGCTTTAACTAAACACCTAGCATCTGCTGAACACTGTAGGTACCTCTTTCCATTCTTATAAAATTTGAGGTAGATTTTCTTTCATTCATTTTGTGCATAAATAACTGAGGCTCAGACAAGTTAATTAGCATGCTTCTCCCAAATAAGTGATAGCGCTTTGAACCCAATATCTTTTTTCACTACGGTTCCCTCCGTCTCCATACCAGTTTTTATTGCATTTATAGCAGAAAGAAAGAAGATGTGAGATTTAGTTGTTTTTCCCAGTGTAACACGCTGAGTTGTCATTGATGCTGGGACTGAAAAATCCAGTTGTGCAGATCCTGTGTCCCAAAACTGTTAGCCATACCTGGCTGCCCCTCAAGTTTCCCTGTGTTTATTAGTTTTAATAAATCCATGCCACTGAAAACCCACACTTTCATATACCTTTACAGATACATATTTCTGGTTCTTAGATAAATATTATTTTTTCTTATTGTTCCTCTACCATATGGAACTCTGTCGTGTACCCCTAAGTAACACTTAAATAAAGGATTGTTGAAGTTACTTTTTATGCACTGCTACTGGGCAGGTACACCTTTTTTTTATGCTGCATTTTCATAAACTATATCTCCTCTCACATGTCCCAGATTATAATATTCTTGAAAGGAAAGATGGTGTCTGCTCTTTAAAATGTGGTACTGGCATAATATTATCACCTGTGTCCATATCTTTATCCACGCCCAGCCGTGTGTCTCTGAGATATCGAAGACATGGGCCTTTGCGTCAAGGTCTTCTGAAATTAATTTCCTTACTGGTCCCAAGATTTAAATACACTGCTGTATACCTCATTCAATATCATTTATTTGTCATCATGATTTAATACGGTGAGTTTTTCAGTATTTACGAAGCAGAATTTAAATGTACTTGGATTTAGTGCAGTTAAAAAGGAGCATTCAAATTACAAATTTATGTGAGAATATCCATTTTAGACTTTTACATCTTTACAAAATGAATCTTGATTTATATAAAAGTGCCAGCAGATGCCTTGAAACAAAAAACAATCTGAAACCCGTTTGAATACAAATTTGTTTTTCTTGACTGAGAAGTAATAGTTCCCTTTTCTAGTATCTCTCGTCATAATTTTTTTGACCGAACAGAGGCAAAACCAAGTCTTAGCATAACTGGACCCTGATTTGATATTGTCAATTTTATTGTTAAACATCTAGAGCTAAATCACAAGGAAGTAATTTAGCCATCTGATTTATTAATTGCACTACTATCTTTTCTCAGTACATTAATTTTTTTGTGATTCAATACATGACTATTCCAAACAAATTATGTTTAATTAACTATTTATGAAGTGGGCTTCTTTCTGTGTCTTTTTGGTGATTCCTGTTTCCCAGAATACATTAACATGTCTGCTTTAAAAAATATAAATCCAAATGGGTGAAACATAATCCTGAAGCAGGTTTTAATACCTTTTAAATAATATCATCTGTGAATATGCTCTGTCGTCCACTGTCTCTTATCAGAGGCTGGTTATGATGGCGAGTGCACTGACTTTGTTTTGAATCATCTTTTCTTGCCGTGTTTCTGGAGGCAATTTGTAGTCGCCTGTTTCTATCTAATCCCTTGGTCATGTCACCATTGTGTAGATTGGTGTAGAATTCTGAGTTTGTTTTAATGCTGAAAATGTAATTGGCGACAATGCTAATAACCACGGGGCGTGTTTGAATAACAATGTGTGAAAGGCATAAACTTTAAACCTTACCCAATAATGTGAAGTTCCCTATCAGTAAGGCATTTTCAAATGGAAGTGTATCTGAGAGTCTCTTCCCCCAGCAAAATTAATGATGATATACAGACAGCGTGGAAATTCCATGTTAATTGTCTCTGTAGGAATGTGGCAGCATACATTTGAGATTGAGAACACACTTCAGTTTCATGTTTTGACTTACACACGCCAAATAGTGAATTTCTGTGGAATCTCAGACCCATGAAAGAAACCCAACGTAAATACAGTCTGGCTTTCAGCTGAGCTCCTAGCAGCATAGTTCAGAAATGCCTCAATAAGTACAACCCAAATTGAATGCATATGTTTCTCCGGTTCCAGATATTCGTGTTGTTCTTTCTTAGTGCTTTCCTGGAAAAAAGTCTGGGAATTCATTTTTCAGTTCCTGTCATCAAACTTTTTATACAATTATTTGTTAATCAGTGACTTCTCTTGAAGCAAGAACTTTATGTGCATTATTCCCTGTGAGAAGTTGCAAAGCAGGCAGCTTTTAATAGGCCACATTGAAGCATTGGATAAAATAAGGAGGTGGTCTTAAACAACCTCTAGGGATTTGCAAGATGGATATAGACCTTGAGCTTGATCTCTAGACCAGTGGAACTTTTTGGCACCTTTTTGCCCAGGTAGAGGTCACTCTAGGCAGCAGCTTAGAAAGAATGGCACTAAGGCTGAAAGAAGGTCAGAGTTCAAAAAACATGACCAATCTAAGAGAGCAAACATAGAGGCTATCAGAGATTTTTATTAAAAAGTGGAGAATTTTTTTAGTGCAAAATCATATTGAGAAATAGTTAAGTAGGAAATGATTCATTCCTCTTCCTTGAAATATTTTAAAATTAATGGCAATAACAAGAATGGAAGGATTTTTAAGAAAATGAGTAATTCCTGCTTGGTTTCTTATTTTGATTTAGCAATGGATAAGCCAATTAGTCTGAATCATATGGCATGTGGAAGGGTAAAGATTTCAGGATTAATACAGAGAGTTGGAACAATCATTGCCAGAATTCCCGTTGCACAGCGAGATCAACACGTCAAAAAGAAGTGCCTGGGAGATGCTGGATGCAGGGAAAGGGACGGCTTTCTCGAGAAGGATCAGAGTTGGTGGCTAAGCATGTTCTAGAGGTCACTAGGAAGGCCTCTTAGCTTTGAAGTTCTTCATGCCTGTTTCTTCCTCCCCTGCTATATTGCGAGTTTCATAATATCAAAGGCCCCATCCTATTCCACCTTCTCATAGGAGGCATTCAGTAGACATTTTTCATTAAATCAAAGATCGATTCCTTCTAAGAGGCTATATCGAGGACCTCTTTAGTAAGAGATAAAGGAGGGTCTAAGACACTTGGGAAAATAGGAAAATGGCCTTAGTAGGACAAGTTCCCTGGATGTCTCAGGGACCTGTGATAGTTTTTGTGCCCCCCACCTTAATCAAGAGAACTAGTTAATCTCTGTTCAATTAGTAGGGTATGAACATAACTGTGAAATTGTGTGCTGGACAGACATAATACAGTATTCATGTGCTGTACTAGAAGCTGGAGACTCAGACTTAAAATATTCAGTTCTCATCAAAAAGCAATCAGTGTAATGATGAACACGGATGAGTAAAATAACAATTAAAGCACAGTGTAAATAGTTCCATGTGTTAGTACCAACATGAATAAATGAACTGTTCTCCAAGATTCCTTATGTTGTCAACTTGGGCACTGTTAGCCAACATAATTAGAACTGGCTCGAAAGAACAGTGTACTTACCCCAACCCTTCCCGCCTTATCATGTTCCAGAGTGCATCATCACTCTGGCCACAGGGAGCATCAGCACTCTTCACTGAGGACAGGCAGAGCACAGGTGGTCAACATAAGTTTAACTAGAGTAGGATTTGCTCGTAAGTCGTAACAGTTAGCAACTCCTGCTCTTTGACCCTCAGTTGTGTGCTAGGCACTGCGCTAAGCTGCTGACCCTCATTCACCCATCATTGCAAAGCTGTGCAAATCATAGGAACTCCCTGGTCAACATGGCCTTCTTTTTTCTCGTATTTTCTTTCTTTTATCCATTTTTAATGAAATAAAGATTAGAGCCTATTTCATGTGTATAGTCAGGAGACATTTGTGAGGCACCGTTTATGAACCAAACACTGTAAATCAGACATACCCAGCCTTGCCCTTAAGAAGTTCCCATCCTGGGGATAGATAGGCAAGGATGTTACAAGGTGTGCGGGCTACAACAGAGTTGTATGCATGGCAGTGGGAGAGGACAGAGGGGGTACAGCTTTCTCATGGAGGAGTTCTTGATTCTATGAGACGGTTCCTCAAGTCTAAAGTAAGGGGAGCGTTGTGTTGCACCTATGAAACTGTTTCTGTTTGGTAGGTTGAACACGGCTGAACATTGGCTATTTTGTACGATTCAACCCGAAGAGTTTCATGACAGTCCACCAGTCTTATGATGCTCTGAAATTTGTACAAATGCTGTGCCTGTGTCACAAAATATGTGTCTGACCATTTTGTAATAGATTACTGTACATCTAGTATTACAGGGAAGAAAAAAACAGATTTTTTTCACGTGTTTGGAACTCTCTTTTCAATTCCAGATATTAATGAATGTGAGCAGCCTGGGCTCTGTGGTCCTCATGGAGAGTGTCTAAACACAGATGGTTCTTTTCACTGTGTCTGCGAACAGGGTTTCACAATCTCTGTAAGTGGCCGTACATGTGAAGGTAAGATAAACCATGAGAGATCCTATTGTTACTGCGCGATAAAGCGGCGAGGACGTTGCTTTCTATAAAACAGGCAAAGGCCCCAAGACACTAAGAGATAGTCACAGTTGGAGACCTCGAAGCATGTGTACATCAAGGTGACTCCTACTGGAAATCATAGCTCATGGTTCCTGAGATTTACAAATAGGATACCTTGAGAGTAAGATGTTGAAAGTACTCACAGATGCTTTCACTACTGGTACTGAATTAATGAGCCAGCAGGCGCAGGAGGTGATGATTTAGGTGCACGTGGGAGACCCACAGGAAACCCGTGGCAACCTCCCGGGTGTAAGTGGAGCCTTGCCTGTTTTGATTATGCTTCATATAGATCATCTCCATCATTCTGTTTATAAAAATAATGTCTTGCTTGATTTCCCTGCACCCTTGTCAGCAGAGATTTTCCAGAGTTATTCCCCTCATATCCTTAGTTATAAGCCAGTGTATTTTCCTACCTGTCAGTATTCATTATCCCCTAAAGGCTAATTACGTTAAGATAACACTGTTGGCTTCCCGTCTGCAACCTCTGTGCGTTTGCAGGGATACGGCACTGGTTAGATTCATAAAGTTCGTGTTCTTGATGATGTTACACTTTGATAAATTGAGGAATAATACATCTGAATCTTTTAAAAAGTACACTGAGAAGATTCCCATAAGCATAATTTCAGTTCACCTCTTTGATAACCTAGGGTATGAAAACCCAGCTGTGTTTCAAAGAAGTAGGTTGTGAAGTTTCCATTCGGGGGCTATGAAAGAACCCGCATTCTTCGCTCTAAGAAAGAGTGCGGCAGGAAGTCTCTGCTCTCCTTGCTCATACCACAGTGGAACCAGGCCGAGGAACAGAGACCCGGTTCATCTGAAACTAATTATCATATTGGGAGGAATAAACTGATCTTATAAAAAGTAAGACATTGTTGAAATTGCTCTCCTGCTGAGCAGACAAAAAACACTGATGCCAGATCTGGCGTCCAGTTAAAGAGAGATAGTGCAGGGTGCGGTTTGAGTAAGCCGGTTTTGAGGGCTTTGGAAGCGATCAGAAGTTGGGAAATGGAGCAAAAACACCATAAAAAGGTGGCCATGAGAGATTTACAAGGACGCCATGTCTCTGTGGTTCGAGTAGGTTAGTTTTATAGGTCCAGGACCAGGGCTCGTGAGAGAGACAGTGCGTGGACGTGTACATTCTTCTGGAGAGATCACAGCATCCGAATCACTGAGGAAGCCTAATGGCAGAATGCATGTTGCCCCCCCCCCCCCCATTCTGGAAAGATACAGGTTTGCTTTTTGAGTTAGCACTACGTCACAGCTGCCCAGGTGTCCCTTCACTGCAAAATAGTTCACGTTCCAACTGCCAGTAGTTGTGCCATGAAACAACTGTGTTCAAATACCTCACGTGCTCACTTGCCGAGACTGTCGTTCCAGGAGAATATACGAATATAAGTATATTCATATTTATTTTTTCTTTTGGACTTAGTAATTTTTCTGTAATTCTGTGTCCTTTTTCATACCAATTTCTGCAACCCGAGAGTTCTATATTCACTCTAATGTAGTTGCAGTTCTAATTTTGTTGGGCATTTACTTGTCAGAGACTTGAACTTAAAAAGGAGTTTTTAGAAAATATCCAGTGCTTTGTAAATTACTGTGCCTTAGTATACATTCTCTGACACTTGGTACATTTTTTTTTTTACTCCAGAACCTGGACAATTTTACAAGTGATAGATAGGTAATTTAGAATATTGTGTGACTATATGGCAGTATAATTACAAATCACCTAATTATTAGGCATCTTATTCTCTTTCTAGAATAAGCTCTGCAAAGCTTTCATTTATTTTGGGCTTAATCCAATATATTAAACCGGCCTGAATTTCCTTTTCCTGGACTGAAACCTGTGGCAGTAGCAGTATGTGCTGACTCCGCCCTTGCTGGGGTGTAGGATGAGGCCAGTCCATGTGATCGGGAGTTACCCGTGGAGCACAGGTACAGAGGACAGCAGGACAGCAGGTCCTTGAGTAACGTTGTTTTGTTATAACTTTGATGAGATGCCATAGGAAGTTACCTCCTGTTCACTATGTCGATCAGCCTGTAGTAAATTGGTTTTGTTATATACTGTTTCACTCTGCATTGCGGAACATATTGATGACATCAAGTGAAGACTTACTATACTTGAGTTGACATTGAGAAAGTGTCTAGCACTCTTATTTGTGCTGGTTCACCCACATCTGAACTTCTGGCAAAGCAACTGAAGCCACATTGAAGCTAGGGCTGGCGCACCCAGCTCTAAGCAGGACTAAATGAATCCCACCCATGAGGAAGCAGACTCTGTGGACATGAACCATCTCAAGTACCAAGTAGCACGGGAGGTTGTACAGGAGTAAAAACAGCACTGCCGGCTCCTTCCTCTCCCTGCTGTTCGTGGCGCTCGGGGAACACCTCAAGGGAGAGGGAGGAGAAGCACCTTGCTTCTCCCACACGCTGTAAAGAACAATGGCGTTATCTGACGTTCAGCTGGAGTGCAGTGGCAGCTATTTTCTCACTTACTCTTTCACTCAGCAAATATATATGGCGGGCTTGTTCTGTGCCCCCACTGTTACTGTGCAGAGGGCAAAACACGCACAGTTCTGTCCACATGGAACCTACATTGCAGGAGGGGAGTTGGGGATAAATAAGTAAACAGAACATAGAGAAACTGATGTATTTATATTTAAATAGTATAACATAGTTATACTTTATGGATATAAATAAGCACCATAAATAATATAATGCACAGATTTTTTTTCTCAAGTCCCACACGTGAATGTCACAAAAGTGCAGAGAAATGGGACCCTCTGATCAACTGCCTCCTCATTGGTGTGCCCTTTCCTTTCTCCTCGTAACCATGGCTCCCTGGCTCCTGCCGCCTTCTCTGTGTCCTCCAGCCGGAGCTTTTATCTTCTGTAGAAAAGCAAAGAAAAACTTTTTACTTCTCTTGCTCAGCTCACTGTTTTACACCCCAATTTATCTCACCCATTTGCTTTGTAAAAAATCACAATTCTTTTGCTCTTCTAGTTTATCTCATTTTTTATTGTGGCAGTTTAATTCAAGTGAAAAGTATTTATTATCCCATGTAAGGTGACTCAGGGTTCAGTTTCTTCATCACTGGCAGAATGTGTGTGAGTGGAGGAGACAAAGGAAACTCGTGACAGATTCCTAAGTGTCACCACGTCAGTCCCCTGACCCCACAGAGTGATGCCTCCTGGTGTCTGACTTTGCATCACTCCATTCACGCGCCTCTTTGCGAGCTGCTCTCAGCCAGAGCTCTCCCAGGTGGGCATCCCAGGTCGAGTGAGAGCTTGTATGACAGATAGTGGAACTGGGGGCCTCTCCAGGTCCCAGCGTGCTTTCCAGCCTGTTCACAATAGAATGACCACGAGGTCTAGCAGGGACCTTGAAAAAGCCCAACAAGGCAGAGCAAGAGTGGCTTACAGAGCCTGGTGGTCCTGGCTACTTAGGCCACCAAATGATGACAAAATCACTCCCTAAAGCCCTGTCTTTTAGAGAGCATCTTCATTCATTCATTCATTCATTCATTCATTCATTTGACATATAATCATTAAGTGTTATACTATGTGCCAGTCACTATTCTAGGCATTGGAGCTATCAGTGAACCAAAAAGCCCTACTTTCTTGGAAGCAATGTACTAGTAAGTCAACTGTATAATATGCTATAAAGTGATAAACCCTATGGGGGGAAAAAAAGTGGAGCAGAGTAAGGGCCCCCGAGGGCTGGGGTAAGGAATGGGAAGCTGGTGTGATACTAACAGCAGGGGTCAGAATTGGCCACTCTGCTTCACTAATGCAGGTTTATGAGAGAAATATTGAAGTTTTTGTCTGAGAAACAAACGGAGCCTTTTTCAAACTGGCCGTCCACTGCCTAAGTGGTAACAGCCTGTCAGTAAACACAAAGAGGGCATGCGAGTGTCTGCTCAGGGCTTTCTTCCTGTTGCCAATAGGAAGTCTGTTGTCCAGACAGAATAAGAAGCGCAAACCCTAAGGTCAGCTGTGGACCCCGGGTGGTAATGATGTGTGAGTGCTGGTTCATCATTTGTAACAAATGTACAGCTGTGCTTTCCAATGTCCATAGTGGGGGAGGCTGGGGAGGGGGCAGGGCTTGGGGGAGCCAGGGGAATATGAGAATTTTCTGTCAAATTTCACTGTCAACCAAAAACTGCTCTTAAAAATAGTCTGTTTTCTTTTTTTTTTTTTAAGAATCAGACATTTCTGGTCTACGGGACCATACCACCCTGAACATGCCCAATCTCATCTATAAAAATCAGACATTTCTGGAATTACCTATTTTTCATCAGAAGAGAAAAATCGTAACCTTTAATTTTATTTCTGTATTCTGTTCCTTTATTTTCCTCCCCTGAATATTGTTTACTTCTCAGTTTTCAAAATAATGTCCCAGACAGACTGCACGATCAGAAGCATCTGCTCCCACTTTCAAAACTATTCTAATAATTGATTCAAAAACTGAGAACTGAGGATTGGAAGGGGACTGACTACTAATGTCCCCCCTTGGAATCCCAAAGTACTCCAAAAATCAAGTCCTGTTGTTACACAGATAAGAGCACTAAGCTCATAACCTTTTCAGATATCTACTACAAACCACTTGTTCATTCATTCACTTAAAAGTATGGAAAGTATACCAAACGCACGTGGTTAGGGCGGCTAGCTTCTTGACGTTCACTGGGAACAGTGGTCTTACCGGACAGACTCAGAGAAGCTGGGTTCCAACTCTCAGGCCAGTTTTGTGTTCACTGGAAACCAGAAAACACGGTAAAGGCAACCTTTACCAAATCAAAGAAACAAAAACAAATCGGGAGCAAGCGTGGTTTTGTTTTCAGATGTTTCAGCACCTTTTCTACTGTGTTGAGAGCCTAGGACTACTGTTGCCTGCGCTCCGAGGCAGCCGGCGGCCTTGTGTCCCTG